CTTCCCACCCTCTGCTTTATTCTGCTTCCTCTCTAATCATGACTTGGATTCTTTAAATGTCATTTATTTAGTTAGAGAATACACTGGGTAGAATGAATTACAGAACAAACACCATAAGTGATGAGTTGAAAATGTGTGTGTATGTGTTTTTAGAGCGGGTTGAATATGTGTTTTGAGTGATGATGCTTTCACTGACACAGACAGGTGTTTGTGTTGAAGCTGACCAGAGAGGGCTGGCTGTCTAAGATAACAGCTGCTGAGCACAAGTGCTGACGAAAATATTGAAAGTTTAAGTTAAAGTGCACATGAAAGAGCATTGGAAGTCTCGGTGATACCTGAGAGCCAAAGCATGACTGTTAGGCAACAGAGAGCAGCGGTGTTAACTGTATTATTGTATTGTATCTGTTATGTACGTTGTATGGCTGCCCACGACTAAGAATTTTCCTAGTCAACCAATCATTGTCATTTAGGGCCATTAGTCAACTAGTCGCCCGCATGTTTACAAAGTAATTTAAATCAAATGATATATTTAGGGCGGGGCAACACAATGGTTTGAGTTGAAGGTGTGAGAAAGAATAGTGTCAGTAACATTGTTAACACTGTGCTACATTACAGAGAAATACAAAACCGTACTAATGAACCTTCATTAATATAGGCCTATATTTTATCTCCAAGTGCACGTCACACACTGAGCGAGCCGCCTGTTAATGACACTGTGGGCTAATGGGCATGTAGCTACTTCCATGTTTCAGATGATACGTCATGTTTGTAGTCGACCAATGAAGATGAGTTTACATATCACCTTGGGTTCGTCCTTCACCTTCTCAAAATGATCCCACACTTTGGATTTCCTGCCCGACATGTTATTAACTAGCCTGTGGAATAACTGCAGGTACCAGTACTGGAAATTAAAGGCCGTACATATGCCACATTTTTAACCACCTGGAAAATGCGAGGTAGGTCTTTGGGCGCTACTCTTGTGCCTTTTTTGTGCCAGCTTTCAAGAGCTCGGTGGCAGGTTGCATCTGAATTGCTAAGCTACCTTGACAAACATTGTATAGCCACTTTACCTGAAATCCTGAGTGCAGAGCTGATCTTCTTCCAGGAGCTGTTTATAAGTTTGTAGGCCTATTGTCCGTGGGACAGATGTAAAGCTCTGGGTAGCCCTGCACTAACATGATCAACTTTTCCGTGTTTATCAGACTGAATATTAACAGAAGAAGGGAAAGGTATCTGTTGGCTGTGATTGGTGTGTAACCTGACTCCTGTCTGACTGCTGAGCGTGGCCACTTCCTGTGTCTGTCCTTTCAAATTAAATTCCCACATGGTCCAGTCATATAGGTTTTGATTTATTTTGACAAGGTGCAGCTTTGCTCACTTTAAAAAAAAGTTTTATTATTTTTGACGTTTTTTTTTTTCTGCAACTAAGCGACCAATGAAGTCATGCGGACTAATGACCTTCCTGGTAGACTAACGTTTGATCAACCATTAGGGGGCAGCCCTAGTATGGTATGTGTTATTTAATGTGAATGGATCACATTTTTTAATATTTCTACTACCTTTTTTATAAACACAATTTGACTGTTGATGATGTGCAGGAAGAATTTCTCTTTCATATGCCACTTCTAAAGCCGTATCTACTTTAAAGTTTCATTCAATATGTCTCTCTGTTTGTGTGGAGTGTTTATTTTCTTTAAGTTATTTTTGACTCATTTCAAAGACAAATTTACATCCATTTATGACAGACCATACAGTTCTGTCACCATCCTGCTGTTTATTTTTAGTCCTTGTTACTGCTCTGCAGAGTATATCTTCAGGTTAACGTGGAGTGAACATGGCAGGATGCAGCTACATACACGTGACCCCTTTATATCTCACAAGGCCTTTCTGTTAGACTATGAAGTGCTGTTGTCATGAGCAGCGGGTGCTGACATTTCCCTCTTATGTCGAGAAAAAAGGTCATTTATGTTGCTCAGCCTTAGATCAATTGTTGGTACGACAACAGAACAGCTACAACTTTTAATTCTTTTACTTTTCCACCAAAAGTCATTTCCAGACCTTCACAGCTATCCATAATAAAAGTTAATAGAAGCGTAAATTGTGACAGATTATTTCTATTATCATTGTGATATCTGGGTGATTTTTTTTTTTTTTTTTTTTTTTTTTTTTTAACTAAACCAGTGTTGGTGATTGTTGGAACAGTGGAAGGGTGAACCAAGTAGGTTTTTGTGAGTTTTATTTTGTTTCTGTCGGATAAAATTACTGCTTACTCGACAGTAGTGCTGGTTTCCCTCCTCTTACAATAACAGTGGCTCATCAACCATCTGCTCCTTTTTAAATAAGGGTATTTGTCTGTAAAATGGGAGAAATTTAAAAGATGAGCCACAGTAGTATAATTCATTTAATAATTGCCTCTATCCACAAATATTGTCTGGGATTACTGTTTGCAGCCACTTAATTTTTTAGCCTTTTTTTGTTGAAGTTCAGGTTTTAAGAATACACAGATGCTGCTTCTACTCTGCTAGAAATAAACGGACGACATTATAAATTGGCAGCAGCATAGGGCAGGACTAAACAGGACTAAACCTCCAGCAGGCTCATCTGACCTGGACCACTCTAAGTACCTTCAAGTGTAGGGCCCCTTATTACAGCACTGCGCTAAAACCACAAGTATTTGTTTCCATCAACCTTATCTCATTCATTCCATTAGTAATGTTTTTTTTTTGTTTTGTTTTTTTACCTCTGACAAGTTAAAAAAAACTTTTCTGATATACTGCCATTTCCTTTCAGATTTTTTTCTCAAAAAGTGCATAAAAGCAGAATGTTCAAAAGGTTTTGATTATGTTGCAGGATAATGCTCTGTGCAGAACTTTGTAACAGACGTCTGCACCAGCGAAGCTTGTTTAGCTTTTATTTTATTGTCTCATGGTCAGAATATACACATCTTTTAGTGAAACTTACAATAAATCAAATTCTACAATCTAAGAGTTATGCTGGTGACCCCTATGGATTTATTTACCATTTATCCAACACAATTTCACCATTATTTGTTGCCTCCCAGTTAATTTCGGACTCTGCATGTTGTGTGGATTACTTCTGCTGAAAAAAATATAACAGACATATAACAGACAAGACAAATACTCACTCCTCTTCTTCTCTCTGTGCAAAGATGAGGATAAGACAGTCATATTTTGGTGGCCAGACCTCATTCTGTCTTGGAATTCTTTGTAGAGATAACCAACATAATCTGTGGCTGCTTCGGCACCCCATGAAGCATCATCCCTTCAAAATAGAGGGTCAATCTTCCGCCCATGCTTCTCAGCCCAGTACTGTTACGGATTGCAGGATATTAAAAGGGATTCAGCCCACTGAAGGGGCCATGGTATTTACTGAATGAGAGCTGAGGGCAGAGATGGAAATGGTTTAAATCTGAACCACATGCTGACAGAGAAGCAAAACCAAAGAATAAGAAGCCCCAGACGCTGTTGGGCGACATTCAGCAGTGCTGTAAGGAGGGGAAGATTGTGTGGCTTTGTGCACAAGCAGAGAAAAGCGAGATAAATTATTGTTTGGAGACATAAGTAGGAACGGAGTAGTCTCACACTGTCACAGTTCAGAGTTCAAATTCATGTGAAAAACACTACTGCAAGGCAAAATTTTCTAACCCGGTCGCCAGAATAAAGTGTTAGAATTGTACATTTCTGCAAACTCCAGATTTGTGACATTTGCACATTTCACACCTATCATCAACATTTCTAAAGTGACATAGTTCAGATTACATGTGTATGAGCTGAGTTTCTCATCAGAAGGAGGGAATGGTGTATGACATTTTGGTGAAATGTACAATATTTATTCTGCTGATAATATTCTGTTTAATTTGAAAGGAGTAGTAGAGGAAGACGAAGGTACTGAAAGCACTTCAATTTAAAAGCAGCTGCACTGATATATGCCGTTCACATAACCTGGTCAGAGTTAATATATATTAACACTTAAAGATCCACTCATCACTAAAAGTGTACAGTATGTCATATAAAAACTAAAGTAATGGTCAAAGTTGTCATATTGAAATTTAAGGTGTGCTGATGGATTCACGTCGTCAACTTATCCATTGAGTAACATTACTGTTCCACCTTAAAAGTTGCCGGCAGTCGGCCCAGTGAATTAAGTTTTTTTTTTTTTTTTCCTCAGACTCCAGCTGCTGTGAGAGGCTGCAAAACATCCTTTCATTTTATAGTCACTGTTTACTAATAAAACTCTCCACCGTATGAACAGTGGTTACATGAGCCTCAAAACCAGACACAACTCAGCCCTGAGCAGAGTGACCGTCCTCTACTGACCAATCAGACTGCAGTGTTCACAGCTCCACCTTTTAGTACCAGATCTGTGTGCTAGGTACCCCAACAGAGGGGGGACCAAACATGGGGACGGTACAGAACGGTTCCATTGGTACCATCCACAACTTTTCACAGTGGAAATGAAAAAAAAACATACTGAACTAAACTGAACTGCTCGGTGAAAACGGGGCTTTATAGTCATTGTACAAGTACAATGAGATTCAGTATGCAGCTTCTGTTACAATGCTGTAATAAATAAAGTAAAAAAAGAGACATAGGAGTAATGAAAGTTCTGATACAACTGTTAATTAACGCAGTATTGTTAATTAAAGTCACCAAAGAGAATCCAGTCTTTGACAACGGTCTAATTATTTGCTATTGATTGACCACTATCTAACTTTCATAAGACGAGCAGCCAAGATTTCTCGTTCCCCTTTCATGTTTGTTCATAGTTTTTTATGATGTGGGAAAAATAACGCGGACATATTCTATGTCCACCACATGTTGAGCTTTAACCTAAGATTAGGAAATGCTCTTTTAAGACTGTTGGATTTCCTGCATGCTCTGTCTTCAGTGGTCTCTCCTGCAGTGTGTCTGACAATGAAGCCAAAGGCCAGTAAATGTCAAATTCTGCGGTCTGACTCCCCCTCCTCTTTCTTCCCTCAGATCCTCCTCCCCTGCAGCGACCTCTGAAGGTTTCCTTGAAGGCTCACTGAAGTCAGCGATCACGCCACGTCCAACCAGCGCTGCACGGAGGGAGTGTATAATATACTGTGAGTAAACATACTTATTCACACATACATGTTACTCACAGTGGGACCTAACACCAAGCAGCAACAGTGTCTTAGCTCATCACACCTCGGTGTGGTGGTTAATGCTCCGCCTGTCCACCCAGGTTCATCAATATTGTATAGACTGCAATTTTCTGCCTCTGGTTGCTAAATCAAGCCTCAAAATGCCTCTTCATTAACCTGTAAGAGATTCCAAAAACACCATGCTTCATGCTTTTAGCTACATTAGTGTCATACAGCTCATGGCGTGTTTTTGTATTGGTTTTTGTGAAAAATCTCCACTGGATAGATTACCATCAAATTTGTTACACACTCAAATTTCCACTTATCCAGTGCTTTAGGTTGATTGATACCTCTTGAACTGACGTTAATCCTGTCGACTTTTAAGATTATGATAATTTAGCTAAGCATGCTAAATAAACACTAAAGTTTTGCTATTCTCAGAGCATTTTAGAAGTCTTAGAGGTGGTCATGCTGCTGTGGCTCCAACAGCCTTTAAAGTCATTTTTGAAAAGCATCTTATATGCATTTAGTTATGCTAAAAAAATATGACGTTAGAAGTTGCATGAGAGGAAAAGGATCATTAAAACATAATGAATCATCCTCTGGGGAGCATGAATATCCACTTGGGGTGGCTGATATGGCCCTAAAATAATGTCACAATATTTCAGGGTATTTTTGCGCCAACAATATTCTTGACGATATGACAATTTAGTAAAAAAAAAACCATGTAATTATTAATTTAAGAACATAGCATTGGCATAGCTAAAAGGGTTCCTCCAATATGACTACTCTACAAGGTGGAAAATTGGACGCCTCGGATCAACTCGCCAATCTGCCTCTGTGTGTATAAACGCTCGCAGCTTGCCTGCAAAACGGCCCAATGTTCGCGGAGAATCTGGCAGTGTAAAAGGGGCTTGAGTTTACCTTCAAATATTCAGTAAAAACTAAAATGATCTCTCATTTCTTTAGTTTGTGAACAACATTATTAACTCTGACTTTGACTGAGATTCAGATTCTGTTACAATATTAATAGTTTAACAAAATAAAATCGACCACAAATTACACATTTAAACAGCTCCCAAATACAAACAATGTCCCCTGGGATCTATATATATAAATCAACAGGTGATTTCCTTCTTTTAGTAAAATCCTAAATGACTGAGTTGGGGTTTTTTCCACCTGGACCTTTATGCTCTGCCATTTCTCCTCTAATCATCATGCTTTAACCTGTGACAGGCTGTTATGATACCACAACTATCACACATTCACATATATGGAGTTTTTTGTTGAGTCGCAAGCATCTCGTAGGTTTACATTACCAAAGGTTTATGATAAAATCACTTGACGACACTGACTATCGGTGCACACTGTGCTGCTGGAGCCGCTGAATGAGTTCCCTCTGAGTTGCTAAAAGAGTTTGAGAAGTCCGGGCTGTTCATAAAACATTCAGGTCACCACAGTTTATTCCACACTACTGAAGCTGCTCCTCTTTTTGGAACCACTGCGGAGTCAGCAATAATTTTGCTTTCAGGCGTGATTGTTGTTGCCGTGGATCTTTGGGACATGTTATTAGAGAGTGCAAAAGAGGGAATCAGTATCACTGTGGGTTAGAAAGGACATCCGGCTTCAAGGAATACTGCACCGCAAAATTACTACTTACTTGCATATTAATTGCAAAGTGCCTGTTAGGTTGAATTTGTGAAGAAAACTTTTTTTTTTTTTTTTTTTTTTTGTTGTGGTATGACTCATCATGACTCATCATGATAGACACATTCTAGCATTAATTCAGTTAAATGGAAACCACATTCAACAACAAAACTATATAAAAGCATTCGTTTGCAAACTCTCACACAACTCCTGCAGCATAATTCAAGTCTCATTTATCCAGTCATGTGCTCAGTACTTCCCCATACATGCATTTTCACTAAAACATCAAGATTTACAACACGTCTGTACATCAGTCTAATGCATGGCCGAGTAGCGTGCCTGGGCATAGGCATGTTTTTGAACTCAGACACACTTCATATGCATATGCATGTGCATGCACTGGCACACTTAGGGCGCGATACCCGTAGGTGGAAGTGCTTTATCATGAAAGGTTTTAGCAAAAATTAATGTGTTTGGGAAGCACTGAGCATATGACTGGATAGATGAGACTTGGACTATACTGCACGAGTTGTGTGAGTGTTTGTAAACAGATGTTTTGATAGTTTTGCTGTTGTTAAACGTGATCCCTAAAACTTCATGACAAATCTTCGCCTTTTTGGATTTTGAACTATCAAACTACTTGTCTAAGTCGCATGATCCCCACCTTCTGTTTCATAGATTTGTTTTATATCTAACAAAATAAGGACGTATTAGCTCACTTCTTATAACTCTGACAAAGATGTAGATATGAGCAGACTGGAATTCAGCCTGAAAGCTGCAGAGGGTTTGTTCCCTGTAGGTCAGCCACCTAGGGACTCTGCAGCAGCCTTTGCTGCCGACTCCTGCAGGGCAGCAGATTGTCTGTAAACCAGGCCACAGCATTTGGCACCGGGCTGGAGGGGAGGCAGCCCCAGATTGTGGTGGATGTGTGCGGGTAGATGCCAGGAATACTGGTACAGATGGGTGGTTGAACAGTGTGTGGCAGAGTGAAGAGTTACAGTGTCGACCTACATGTCTCATTAGGAACAGAAGAGAGGAAGGATAACATGACACAAAGGTGCTTTCTCTGCAGTTTGTGACTGACTATACTTGTGCATGAAGCAGCACGTCTGGCACATAATAGAGGATTCTCTTTCAGATTCAGCAGGCTGTTTGTCAGGTTACAGCACATACAGCTACACAGCAAGCATAAATAGGCTGCGAGATATCATGCACTTTTGCTACTTTTCCTACTGCTGCAATTTGAATTTTAACTCCATCATATCCGAGACAGATTTTAATTTGAAAATTCCTTGCTTATTTCATATAATTGAAATTATCTCAGGGAAAATGATGCCAGCTTTCTTTATAATGGAAAGCAGACGTTCTTCCTCAGGCTTCCTTTGCATGAGATCCAAAATTCAAGACTGGCGTCTGGAAGCAAGTGCATTGCAACCCCCATCTATCCAGGGTTAATTGACTCTTAGAATCCATTTCCAGTACTCGTATTTCTCTGTTGCCTGAGCCGTATCAATATCACTTCATTATTCCAACAAACAAAACAACCGTTCCAAACATAACAAGCCACATAATAATTTCTGAACCCTCGCTGCTGGTTAGAACTCTGTCTAGACTACAGTGTACACTTAGGTGCCATCAGTTTTCAGGGGGAGGTGGGGGGGGGGGTTCTCCATCTGCTCGCCCAGATAAAACATTCAATTTTGTTTGTGTTGCAAGTCGAGCCCCACTCCCGTTCTGCTCTGCCTCACTGTGTGAGAGCTACAAGAAGCAAAGACAAGAGCAGGATGCTGGAAAACAAAAGCCCAGTGGGAGTTTTACCAGTCTGCTTTGGCTAACACACTCACCATATAATTAACTACCCGTATCAAATGTACCTCCCGAACACTAGTGAAGTACAAGTGCTGTGGTAAATATTCTGGAGACAGAGCGCTAATCTTTTGGCAAAACAAAAACCGTTAGAGGATAACGGAAAGGAAGAGAAATCGTTCAGCCATCTAAGCAGTGCGTCCATAGGAACATTTTTAAGCTACCATAACAGTTTTTCTGGAAAGCGTCCACAGTTCACACTAAGCTCCCCCGGCCCTCCTCTTATGAAAATTTGTCTTTTAATTAAACTAGTTGGTGGTACGCATCAGGCTCAGGGGGCGACGCCAGTGATGATCAATGTTGGCAGAGTAACAGAGCACTGCTTTCAGACCTCTTTTCCTCTTCAGGCCTCCCTGTTATCTTTCAGCTCCATTTTCAGGTACATCCATCCATCTGTGTGTGTGTGTGTGTGTGTGTGTGTCTGTGTGTATGTGTGTGTGGGAAGGGTGTACAGACGGTGTGGTTCCATTTCTACGGCCCATTGTCCTCCATCAGGCACAACGGGATGTTATCAGCCTCAGCCAGGCTCAACCTCCTACAATGCTTCATTACCTGTGTGTGTGTGTGTGTGTGTGTGTGTGTGTGTGTGTGTATTCGCATCCCGCAAACAATGCTTCATTACACGTCTCTCCCAGGGCTCCCTTAACATTTCTTCTTGTCTCATTACCCAGTGAGAGTCCTGTTATCTGTTCCAGTCATATTTACTGAGCAGACCTTTGCCTTCTCAGAAACACACACACACACACATACACACACACACACACACACACACACACACATACACACACAAACAGAGCTGTCATGTTTGTTAGGGCTGTAATCTTGAGATCAGCGCTCGTAATGAATAATCACTTAGTGTTTAATCAGTATGTGTGTGCACTTAGAGCTCACAGGCATAAATACTATGCTACTACCTAAAATAAATATTCTAATAATGTCTAATTACTTTAACTTAATTTAAAGCTCCTCTTCGTGGATTAATTAAACTCTTAAAATGCATCTCTGTTCATCACATTACATATTTAGATGTTTTCTTCATGAAAAAAATGCTGTCATGCCTGAAAATGGCTTCAGGCCCAGACACCCCAAACCAACATCAACGAACTAGTGGTGATGAAGGCCAACTGATGCATTGCCTCACATCACCTGTGTCTTGCCCAAAAGGTTGCACCTGAACAACAGTGCAAAGACTACAGCCAGTGCTCGACTAGCACATATATTCTGTGCCCGCTCGAGAGGAAATAACTCTGTACCAGCCAGAGCATGTGAGCGGAGCGGAGTGGGGAGCGGGAGGATTTTGTGTTGAGCGAGGAGCGGCTATTTGTTTTAAAAGGTGGAGCGGAGCCTTATCTCTCGCTCCAATTTCGCTCCGGTTGCTCATGCCCCACCCAGAATGCATCTTCTGCCTTGATGGTTCGCCGCGACCTGCTCTGGGTCAGCTGGGAAAGGCTTGAGGCAAAGCAGGC